TATTTAAAAAGAGCTTAAGAATTAAGATGTTGTGATGATGAATTTGTGGACCCATACATTGCTACTGCCTTTGGCAACTATGTTAGATTAATTTATGACTGCAAGTGGAATGTTTTCGTACACAAATATGCACTGCAGTGATCACATGCTACCATGGCAGAAGGAAATAATAATTTCACTTTATGTATTCAAATCATACCATCTTGTAAAAAGATGATATCTAGAATTTACAAAAAAAGAAACACTGGAAAGTTAGATATTCTGAAGTAGCAACATGGATTTAACAAATCAACAGCTGAACAGGTGACATTTCACCTGTTAGCATCCCATTCCTGGAGTGATGCTTGGGGAGACCAGGGCAAAGATACAGCAGAGCTGTTAAAGCTGCTGCTGTGGCTTCTTAGTTTCTCACTAGAAGATTCAGCTATGCTTTCAAATATTTATGCCAAACCTGGGTTCCCAACAAGGTAGCAGCAGCCAAGTGTCACAATTCTCTAGCTGACTATAAAAAATGTCAGACACCCAATTCTCAAAGAAATGGAGCAATGTTATTGCTAAGGGATGTATTTTATATGATGCTGCTTAAGAATGCTATCATACTTATAGTATTAGTGACTGGTTCCTGACATGCTGTTTTTCATTCCTGTGAATCCCTTTAGTTATAAAATAGGATTTTTCTGCTAACTAGAAAGTGTATCACAGAACTGCTCAAGGGCCTGCTCTCCCCGTGACCCCAAAGCATGCCAGTGGGGGGTATTCAGCGCCATGGGTGTTCTCATTAACACTTGACATTTTGCTGTTTGGTTTTCTGCCTGTTGCTATGTAATGATTTCAATTCTTTCTTTGCCAGTCCCAGAAGCCATTTAGCAAGCACTGTACTATGAGTGCTACTTAACAATGTCGACGCAGTCACTAGGAAAGGAGTTTCATTTCCAAACAGCGTGCTACAGCATTACCCCTCTTCATCTGCTCCTGTCCTGTCCCTCACTGTCCTGTGTCCCAGTTAACCCTTTGCCCTGGCCTCCTCGTCCAGTGCTCTTGGGGAGAGTGGCAGCCTTGCCTAACTAGAAATATTCTCTGAGACTAAAACAGACTGCAGGTCAGTGTGATGGCTGTGACATGGGTGAAGGTTTTGGATAATGTAAATTGGCATATATTTGCTTTGCAGAGGCATGGGCAGAAAAATAGAGGCGTCACAGAGAGCATTGCAGGTTTCTGTCCTTAGCCTTCTGCTATTCACAAGCATTTCACAACTCCCATTGGTGTAATGTCTGGAGGTCTCACAGCCTTTAATGTAAAATCTCAAATAAGACTGCAGATAAAAGATACTGTACCGCAAGGGAGAATGAAAACATCAAGAGTGAGAATGAGATTCATTTCACTGAATTTATTCTACCAAAAAGATAGATTGCTGTTGATACTAATCATCCCTCTCTCCCATGGAGAGATGGCATATCTCCCAAGGATGATTTACATGACTCTAATCACTGGGCAGCCCTGACTGTTAAGTGGCACCCAGAGGCCAGATTGAGAAAGATGCTCAGCTTCAGATGAGCTCAGATAAGAATCTGGACAAGTTCATGGTAGCAAAATTCTTTGCAAGTTATTAAATCCATAGCAATATTGTCTGGTTTATGAACTTCCTAAGCTGAAAACAGTCAGGGGCTGTGAGTTATTAAGGGATAGTATCAGACATGTTTCTCCTGTTGTGCTGTTACTGTCCTAAGCATCTATTTATGGCCACTGTTGGAGCTAACACCCAAGGGAGATGGACTTTCTCTCGGACACCATATGGCCGTTCCTTGTGCTCTTATATGAGGCTGCTGTAGCAGTGAGAAGGGGGAATGCACATTTAGCAAGAGATTGTTTTTGCAAATGGGAATTTGGCAGGAAGGTTTATTTCCAGATCTGTGGTGAAGTGCTACTGACCTACAAACAGAAAAACTGGAAGTCAGTCTTACAGAAAGAGCTTGTGCCAGGTGCTGCATGTCAGTGCTTTACACCAGGTCACCTCAAGCCTTTCAGAGATTCAGATGAGCTGTTTCACCATGTGCTTCCCTCAGATGTTGCAGACAGCTTGTTTGAGCCTTAGACAGTACAAGGAGATTCAGATTTGACATAATTTACAGCATGCTGTGTAGCTGTGCTGTACATACATGGATGCTCCCTGGCTTTGTGACAGCACCAGGGGAACTAACAGAGTCAAAGCTTGTCATTTCAAATAACTCGTTGAGAGCACAGAATGTGTGACCCAAAACCCAGGTATCAGTCACCAGAACAGTGCTTATGACCTCCCACTGTATTGGGAGGTACATGTGTGTGTACCGCTATACTTAGGATGATTCAGTTGAAAGATTTTGCAGAATTGACTGTCCTAAATGCTGATCACCTTGAAATGATTTGCTAAGAAGGCAAGAGCCTCTGGTTGAGCATTTTGCTGCTGGTATGGTAAATGTATTCCTGTCACTTGGAGCAGAGATCTTTAATTAGAGTCTCTGTAGCTGTTACATGGCATCATCACTACATAAATATGCTTCTGTTTGAAGTCAGAACTGCCTTTTATGGCAATCTCTACATAAAAAGAAATTTTGATTAAATTGAGAAATGCTTTCCTTATCAAATCCCAATACACAAAAAAAAAGGCCGGTGGAACTGGACTTAGAACATCAATCTGGGCTTTTGAAATGGAAGCTTTTGCTCTCTTTTAAACCACACTATGCTGAAATTGCCAGCAAAAATCTTTGATGTGGGGAGAACATATCAAACTTTAGTTTTGCAATTTTCTGCTTGGTTTCTTACAAACTGCTTTTGTCTAATCATATCTGATATCAAAGATAATTTTATTTAATGTGGATTAGGTAGCATGACATATCCACTGTGGTCTTTCATCAGTCTCTGTTTAATTTTGAATGTGACATGATATTTTCTAGTACAGATGAAATTTGTTCAGCAGTCAGCTTTGAAAAAGAGCCTGTCTTTTATATCTCTGTAAAACGTTATGCATGACAAGAAAAAAAATTACTTCATTCTCAGACTTCTCAAAGTCTTTGGTGTTGTCTCTAGATTACAGCCAGTGTAGAGAGGAGAGATGGTTTATCCTCACATGCTGTCCATTTCAGCAGCCTCCACAGCACAGCTGCACACAGCCAGAATGGGTGTAGTTTGGTTCCAAAGGGAGAGGTTACTGAGAGAATCAAAATGTGATGCAGGAGATGAAGGACGGGGTGCTAAAAGAGGTGATTTTTCAGCCCAGTGAGTATCTGACAGGGCAGTTTAGGGCTGAAGGTGTATCAGCCTTCTGTGATATGGCTGAAGACAAGGCTTGTTCCATTCATAGGCTGTGGTGACTTCAGCAGTAGTGCTGAAGTTACACTAGAAGAGAGCCCTATTGAGAAAGGTGAAAAATTCTACCAAAACCCCAAAGGCACTTACTAATAGGGTGTAAAACAGGAGATTGTGTCTCCTGTTGGAGGATGATAGCAGCAGTATGGAAACCACTGTGAGGGAGGAAAGGTTGGCTGGTGTTGCAGTGAGGGCGTTTCTTAAGGACAATATTACCAGATGTTTTTCTGCTTTCCCTGAAGCCATGAACTACTACCAGATATGAAAAAGAGGATGTAGGTAGGATGCACTGATGTCATTGCTCAAGACCAAACCAATCATCAATGCCATGATGGAATTTTGGCAGAGAGATTTAGACATATGATTTTGTTTGTTTTTTTTAAATCCACTAAATCCATGGGTTTGGTCTACCTATGTACTACAGTCCTCACAGAGTTTGGCTACAGAGTACTGCAGAGACTTGGACTTTACCATACCCCCACTGCTCGTGTTTTTTTACAGGATATTCAGAAACATGTGTCCTGAGCATTTATAGATATGTGAAATAGATGTTCTGCAGCATTTTCTGAAACAATGTCCTGTACTTACATGAGACTGGGAGCCTGCACTGAGTCAGGAGAGACTCTTACAGCTCTGCATTTCCAAACATACAAGGGACAAGGATGCAAGCAAAAAGCTTTTGTGTGAGCCTTTTTTAGTTGTAAATGGTCTTTGTACTGCAGTAGGCATCCTCTTGCCTGAATGAGGAATCCATTCATTTGCAGAAGGATGCAATTTTATACCACTATGTAGAGGTAAAATAGTTCTTGAACCCTGAAGAATATGTGTTGTGATCTCGGATGAAGTTGGGAAGGAAATTGGAACATGTAAAAGAACATGGTTAAACAGTTTCTTCTTCCTTTATCTTTTGCATAGTGTATTGAGTAACTGTTATCTTATGCAGAACATTTTCTGGTACTGCTGAGAAATCCACTAAGAGCACCAAAGAAACTTTGTCCTTCCCAGAAGGAGAAGTCTGGTGTGGGAAAACTTTTAGAAATCTGCTATTTACTGCATTGTGATGGAGCCTTTCAAAATCCAAATTGAAGTTTTCCATTGTATTGATTTATAAATCCTGGATTGTTGCCGTGGTGTGTTTTGCAAGTGAAGTAAGTGCACTGAGTACACTCCACCTCTTTTACAGTAAGAACTCTTTACATGATCTTTATGTAAACCAAGAGTTTGCTTCTGAGTGATGCATAAGAGGAGAACAAATTCTGTGCATCAGAGCCTAGCTGTGTTTGTGCAATGTCTTGCATTGACATGATACCTTTGCTGGTAGACACAAAACAATCCTGTTGCTATCAACTCAAATTCTGCTTTGTGAGTGCTTTGTGTATATGGGTATCTCTTCTAAATGCATATGATTGCATAGGCTGACTCAAAGCCTGCATGCTAGCTCTTCTGTATATTGCACGTATTATATGTAGGTTTTCTTCAATAATACTGATTCCAACAGAAATGGGAGAAATGTGATATTCCTGACAGGTTAGCACTGTGTACATGAAATCTCAGTAATTTTGCAAGTTAGCTAGTGGCTAGTCTTTAATAATGACTTTGAGACGATGCAAAAGCAGATACTAGCTTTCAGTCTGATTCTGCTGTGTTTTTCTTCACAGCTTCCTGTTATGGGAGGAGCCTTTATGGACTCACCCAACGAGGACTTTAGTACAGAGTACTCCCTGTTTAACTCATCAGCCAACGTCCATGCAGCTTCTTCCATGCAGAATCCACCAGAAGAGACATCCCGTTCTTCAAATGATGCCATTTTGTTATGGATTGCAATAATAGCAACAATTGGAAATATTGTGGTTGTGGGAGTGGTGTATGCCTTCACCTTCTAGGATGACTGTCACTACAAACACTGGAAGAAAGGAAACCTTCAACAGTATTTGTCATGTGTATGTATGTATGTATGTGTGTATATATACATGTATATCTATATAAATACATATAACTAGAGACTTTGTTGATTAAGTGCTGCCACAGTCGTGGAAATGAAATGCAAGTTAATCATCTTAAGTCTTGATGGCAGAAAGTTTGGATGCAAATTGTGTGGAATGAGAGCTTTAGTTGAGAACAGAGCCAATACCAGTTTTGTATAGAAATGTAATAAAAGAGAGATCAACTTGGGTATAGTAAATACAGAGAGATATTTATATAGAAAGTGCTTATTTTTTACTGTAGATTTTTCTAGCAGCTCTTCTGCAGTTTGTCAGCTTCTTTTTTTTGTGCATTTTTTACTGTGGTATAACATTATATGGAATTGTTCCAGGTCATGTTTTCTGGACATCTTAATTTCCTTGATGGACCAAGAGGTTGGCATTGGCTCAGTTCTGATGAAGTCCAAGTTCATCACGTGTGGGTCTTCAGCATGGCTGTGGGCTCCTGGGCTCTATTCAAAATCATCAGTCTCACAGCCATGACAGGCAGATGCAGGCTGTCTATTACTTGCCTTCCAGTTTCAGTAACTGGACCTGGTAATCAATAAATTTATGCTGAACCTGCCTGCTGTTCAGGAGGAGGGACAGCTATTGCTGCTCTGCAGACCCTCTGAATTTCAGAGGAGAAAATGATAAACAGAGTAGCAGCACAAGTTCCCATTTCTGTCTAGAGGTATTGGATTGCAGTGGTTTGTATATGCATCCCTTCCAGGAAACAAAACCCTAATACCACACTTCTCATCCCATTGGACTGCAACCCAGATTTCTTACAACAGCTATGTGCTTTCTTAAGGTTATTAATGTACTGAAAGAATGATGGGAAAACTGTAAAGCCTAATTAATAGTGAATATGTCTATGAGAAAGATAAAATTGAAAGAACGTTCTGTGCTTATGCAGGGTGGATTCAAGAGTCAGGTATGTCCTGGGGTAGAAACACAAGAAGAGTAGTGAGTGTCAGATTTGCAAGCGCTTATATCTCAGTATAAGCACTTGCTTATAATATAACTCTTGGTTCTGGTGAGGGTCTTGGAAGAGTTTTTTGGGGGGTTTTTGGGGTTTTTTTTTTTTTTTTTTTAAATATAGCTGGCTTTAGGTAATGACTCTGATTATCCTTTGAATTTGTTCCACTGAGAGGCAACATTTTTACTGCATTTTTTCCACAGGCAGTTCATTTTCAAGAGCTGTATCTTTTCAAGACAAGCTGTAGCCTTCCTTGCTTGAGAGATTGTAAAATCTTGAGAGAAGAAAAAAAAAAAAAATCACCACTGTTGGAAATCTTCCTTCATCCCCATAAAAATTAAGCAACAATACATAAAATGTATGCACTTTGAGAGCAGCAGACAAATTCTTCTTCTGTGTCTGCATGTACTGTCTAGGTTTCTGTCTCATGTAGCTAATACCCTAATTCCAGAAAGCCTTGTCTGCAGGAACGGAGACTATTTTTGACACTTGCCTGCCACTGAGCTTGAGGCTGGGCTATGAGCTGCTGAATGTATAGAGAGGTTTGGATTTTCCACTTTTCTCTTTAGACCCATTTTCCTGCAGGGCTGGTGGACAGTTACTTGTATCAAAGCAGCATGCACCAAATCAGTATTTATAACCACTCAGCAGTCACTGTGTATATTTTTTCTCTCTCTATGAACTGTCCTTTAAAGCTAGGAAAGATGCAATCAGAGCTAGCAGTGGGAGAAAATAAATTAGGTTATTTTGAGGCTGAGAAAAACAATTATGAGCTTCTCTGTGTGTTGGTATTTCCTTGTTTGGAGGCAGGATTTTGTGAAGATGGTTGAGGACAAATAAGACCTATACTGGGAAAAAGTTTGAGAAGTCCAGTTGTGGAAGATCAGAGGGAAAGAAAGCAAATACTGTCCAATAAAATAACTGTAGTCTTAAGGATGATAGAAAAATTATGATTTTCATTTCCTAAAATAGCTATTAATTCCTTCATAGTCACAGGACAATGAAAAGCAGAGAAGCTGTATAAAAGGTCTACCTTCTTTGTTTTTGCACCCCTCTTTCTTCTTGCTAAGCAGAAGGGAAGCTGTTGGAAAGCTGCAGAGAAGTTTCCAATGAAAAACTGAGCAGGACAAGGTCTGGTGTGTAGGATCCATGAAAATATTGCTTAGTGTACTTTCCCCAACCATTTTCTGATATTCTGTTGCCTTTGTAATTGTATCAGTTACCGATGGACTTGTCTTCATTGTTCCTGCAGGCTGTCTAGTTAGGCCAGATCCTGCAAGCATTTTTGCATATAGAGCAAAATATTTCCACCATGACTAAAGCCAGTTTGACACAATGGTACTTTCCCAGTGGGATTATTCTGCTGCCTAATGAATTCGCCAGTGGAGTTCTTTGCTTAAATTTCCTAGAATATTAATCTTAGTGCAATTAGCAATGTTTGCTTCTCTCTCCCAGAGCACTGGACTAAACTCTTCAACCATGAAGAAAAGCATTAGCGTGGGAACAGCAAAAAAACCCCACTATTCTGCTAGTGAAACTAAGTGACACTTTTGTGTTGCTTTTCCCAAAGAAAATGTCCTACTTTGATGTGAAACTGATAGTAATAGCAGGAGTTTTGGAAAACAATGAGTTCCACCTCCTTCATTCTAGAGCATCATCATACATATTTTCATTGTTAGAGACTGTGTTGTCAAGAAGGACCAGACAAAACTTCAATTTAATTAATTGGCTTGACAAGGTGACATGGCAAGCTGGGTGCAAGCAGCAAGTGCAGGCATTTCCTGCCTCATAGTTAAACTGCACACTAACTATATACCTTCTCTGTTGGGAGAAAAAAATTCTAGGATGCAGGTACAAGGATCCTGCACGTGAGTGTCTATGTGAAATATTGTCAGGTGTATTGAAGATCCCTAAATCGCAGTGGCCAGAGCTGGTTCAAGCTCTGCTCTACTTTGATAGTGACAATATGCATATTATATTTCTGGATGTTGTGTTCTGGCTTCCTCCACTACAACCACTTCTCTCTCTGGGAGGTTAGTGAAGGTTTAAATTAAACAATTGAGAAAGGGGACTAATTAATTATTAAGTTCAGAGACCCTGCAGAGTGGAATGGAGCAGAGGCTGTGTGGTGGATCTTTCACAGGTATGGACCTATGAAATATGTTGCCTCTTGAACTCTCAACACAGCTTGACTTGGAGCACTGTAGCTTCTCTGTTCTTGGAGCCAGGTAGCTGAATAATTGATGTCACTCACTGAGGAGTGATGAAGAAGCCAAGCCCAAACACATTCCCCAGAGCTGTTTTCTAAAGCTTTTCTTTAAAAGAACAGGGTTCTGTGCTTTGCTGAGCACTTTGTGTATAAGTTTGAGAAAAAGATTCCACTTGACCAGTGCTTCAATTAAAAATGTCTCGCACAGATAGCAGTTAGAAAATCCTGACTGCAGTTCATTCTGTGGGAGATGAAGCAAGCCACTTCCTATATGCTCTGCCTCTAGAGGTGTTTTACCTCCAGCTCTCTTGTGCAACCTCATCATTCAAACACAAGAAGCAACTTTGGCCTGAAAAGTTATCAGTGAGACAAGGAAGACAAACTGGAGTGCCCTAATAATTCCCTTTTAACCATGGCCTCTAGGGATCTATGGCAACATACCAAATAATCAAACTTCCTCTAAAGAATTCTTTTCCTCAAAGCAGCCAGCTGCTTGACACAGCAGCTGTGCAGCCATCACAGCAAAGAGACTAAAGGCTGAACAATTATTCAGGTGTGTGCAATGGCACGTAGAACTGTGTGGGCAAACCCTCTAGAGCCATTGCTGTTGTATTTTTGTCTGTAAGTAGGAGTCTGTGTTTGCCCACAGCATTAACAACCTGTATTTCTGTGTCAACACACTTGCAAAGCTGGAAAACCAATTTTGAAACGGATGCAACAATAGTAGCAGAGAGACTCATCTGCTACAAATAATGTATTTAGCCTTTCAGTGGGCAGATTAAGTCATAGATATCTCAGAAGTAATGAGATCTCTGCTCCAAAATCCTCACTTGCAACAGGACTTGAGTGCAGTCAGCATCCCACCAAGAGTGAATAGAAGCATTCAGCCATTATTGTCTTACCCTGTCCACCCATTTGAACATAAAAGAAAAAAATACACCTTTGTGTCTGGGGCCAAATGAAAACAGGAGCCTCTAGTCAATGGGTTGTTATGTATTTTGCCTATTATTAAAAGCTTTTATTTTGCTATTCTCAAGCAAATCCAGTTATTAATATCCTTTTCACATTTTTCTGCAAGCTGCTGATAGTTATTAATTTTGTGCAGCACTGTCCATTTACCCAGGGTAATTTGACCAAGTTTCCTGTGGCTAATCACAGAGTAGAGTCTGGAAATTTGCTCTTTTTAAGGGTGATTTCCATTTGAGGTAAACAGATTAAAGATCAGAATCCCAGATCAAAATGCATCTGTGCTTTTGGAACACTCGGAGCTCTGGAGAATTGGATTTCATGTGATTAACGTGCAGGAAGGAAAGGGCAGCAAGGTCCCTGGTGGTAATGTCAGCCATGAGGTTCTGACAGGCAGAGCTGAGTGGTTCATTAGCTGCTGCTGTGTCCCTCTGAGCCCTGCTGGCTCCCTGGACACGCAGCCAGGGCTGACTGTGAGCTGAACACCAGGTACAGCACGTCCCTCCTCCCCTCACAGCCTGCTAATCCTCAGCAAAACAAGCACATGTGTTCTATTTACAAAGAGCCAGGGATCAATATTCTGTTAGCTGTATTGTTCCTGCTACATTCTTCAGTCACCATAAGGTCAAAATAGGTGCCTGAACAATGTACCAGGAACAATACATGCATTTAACATGCATTTAGCCCTTTACCCCTTGTCTCAAAGCATCCTAAAGCAGTCAAGGCATCCTGAGCCTTAAAGTTCCTTACTGCCTTTAATCTGACACTAACTTTTTGTGTTTCCTCATACAACCCATCTTTGCCTTTTACCTCATCTTTTCAGCACAAAATAGGGAAAATGAAGTCACTATGTTCTTCTCTGGACGTGTAGGGAACTCCTAATAGCTATGGATGGACCAGCCATGTCCCATTTTAGTTTGTGGTTCTTCAGGCATAAAGAGGGAAGTTTCCCAATTACCTACATAAGCAGTTCCATGGAAATATTTACCTTTACAGAACAAACTGCATGACAATTTTATCTCATTCTGGCCTGTCCCAGAAACAACATGGCCAGATCTACTTTTGCTGGTTTGGAAATTACACCAACACAGCCATGAACTGGAAAAGAAAACCCTGATAACACAAACATGTCACAATCATCTCAAGGACATGTCTCTGAAGGCAGTTTTGCCTGAGTGACATAGGCAGACTTGAGCTGTTGGTAGCAAGGCAAGTGCCCTTTTGTGTGAGCACAAATAGTCTCCTTCTCTTTGGGAATTCCTGGGAACATTGTGCCACCCATTCTGTCTTTCCCAGGCTACTATTTTCAGTTGTAGAAAATACTCTAAAACATTCCTGTGTTAGAATACATATAAGATTTGCCTCCCAAAGCTCTGTTTAGTCTTCCTGCAAAAGCAAAAACCACCCTATTTTCTCAAGCAAGGAATGTTAATGAGTCAAATATAATCTGTACAGTAGCATTGTTTCATTTTAATATTCAGTTTTCTGCCAGTAGGTCTCAAAGGAGATCTTACTATTATCCAGACTTTAAAGATGCTGAGAACAGGAGCTAGCAAGAGAATCACACAATATCTCCAAAGTCACTGCCTAATCCTTTAGGCTGTACCATTCCTCATTCCTTCCCATATTACACTGGTAAGAACTCACATCCATCTCTTTAAACTCATTGTCACCATCACATTGTCTCTATGACTTCATTTTAGTTCTCTCCTTGTCTTTGCTGTATTCTCTTCATTCTTTGGTATCAGAGCATGTGAGCATTTGGAAGCCAGAAGTGTTCTTCAGCCCTTTTTAGCCAGCTCCTGGCTGACCTCTGAGAGTAAGGTTAGTGATCAGAAAGGACATTCCACAGTGAGGGCAAAGAACAGTGACACAAGGCCTCTTCTTGGGAGAAAATCTTAATTGTTATCTACCTTATAAAATCAGATAGTGTTTTTCCCCTAAGCAGAAGAGCAAGATGTGGCTGTGGAGTTTGGTAATTGTGTTGTCAGTATACATACAATGCAAAGTTACTTTTCAAAAATTCAAACTTTGTAAATACACTGCACTGGTCTGCAGCCAGCACTTACTGAGCTTTTCCCAACCCAAAGTCCTCTGTTTTTTTAGCAGATCAGAATCAGTGGTAATGCTCTTGGGGTAAAGTGAGGGCAGCAGGAGTGGGCCCTAAGGAGAATAGAAAAGCTCCATGTGATTTACTGTGGGGTCAGGGCCATTAAAGAGCAGCCTATTCTGTAAAGAAAAACAGCCACAATGTGCTAAGCTATTTCAAATCTAATCACACCTGCAGTTCTCAGATGCACAGCCAAGCTGCTGTAGCCAGACTGAGCATTTAGAAATCCCATTGTACCCAAAGGAAAGTGCATTCTTCTGCCAGAACTGAGGGAGCTATTCAGCCTTGTGTTCTGGGAGCTTCCTGAGCTGCAGCCATTACGGTGGTACCGCATTTCCTGAGGAGTTCACCCCCACTGATGAAGAAATAAGACTGAACTGATTCAGGTCTAGGCCTAACGCTCGTCTCTGCTGCTGCTGCTTAAGGATGATTGAAGTTCCTGAGCCTGCACGCTGCTCTATCCAGAGGGACCTTTGTCTCCACCTGGAGTCAACTGCATTAATAACACTTCTTCTATACTGCCATCTGCTTCACTGGATCTGTTTGCAGGACTAGCCGTGGGTTGCTGGGGTTTTATTTTAAATGTAAAGATGTCTGTAATTTCCTAATCAAAAGCAAGAAAGAAAGCAGAATGATGTATTTTTTTAAATGAGAAGGTAATAAAACCAAGTCTGAATATTTTGATAGATGTGCTGGAAGGTTATATAATGTAGCAAACAGTTGCACTATTTTTATGTAGTATGAGTAGCTAACCTGAGAAATATTTGTTCTTTCTCTAAGTCCTCTTCCAGTTCTAAAGTTCGGAAGTTTAGGAGTGGAGTACAAAGTCTCAGTGAAATGTGAAGCTTATGTAAATAAATCTGGTAGTTAGCTTTGTGAGGTAGCCTATTACATTTGGGTTTTTTTCAATTATCTCAAATACCGCCTAACTATTTGGGGCTTTTTTTCCCCCAAAAAACCAAAAAGCTAAATAGTGACACTTCTGAAAGCATCTGTTCTTCACACAAAATCACAGTCATATGGAAATTATATTCTTCAGTTCATGTAAAGCAGCTTTACAGGGGCCCTTTAGTATGCACTGTTACTTTTTCTTAACAATCCTTGACTATTTAATTCCCTCTGCTTTCTCTCTGCTACCCTGTTTTGTAGAATATGAGGCTTGCAGGGATTCTCTGTATTGTTTTTGTAATACATGGTTTGGTTGGTTTCTAGAAAAACCTTTAATGTTGTAGTCATTGTTCTTGGATCGTGGAGCTCTATCTGTAAAGAGAACAACAATTTTAAAAATGCCCTCTATTTTTTCCAAGTTTAGTGTAATTAGAAAGTTTAGTTAAGAGAAATGTATTCTTTTAAGCTCCTGTTATGTTCTTTTCCAGTTATTGACTGCTTTCACTATATGTGTACTTAGTACTGGTTGATTCCTTTACTATGGTGAAAATGACAAGTTTTGTTAATATCAGATGGAAATTGTGGTTTTGGATAAAGTTCTTCAAATTGATAATGGTGTGTGATTTTTCATTTTGTTCTCAGTTCACTTAAGAGTAGTTAGAAGTCTGGAATTGCAGTTATTCAATTATTACCTCCAGTGATACTCTGACACTAGAAAATTTCTTGCAGTTTACAAATCTGCATGATTTGGTAGCCTTGGGAAACTGTATTGAATGTATGTCATGGAAAGAATGCTGTGGCTATTTCTACAGAAATGCGTTTACCAGCTCTCCAAGTCCAAGAAGTGCCTCAACACATCTGGGAGCCCAAAAAACAAGTCTTGTTTTCTTCAAACATTAGCTCAGAAGCCCTTGCACCATGAGCCCTTGTGGCACTGCTCTCTGCCAGTTCTCTCCTCAGCTGAGCTTGGCCATCCTGACCCCCAGAGCTGTGCAGGTGCCTTTGTGTCTGTAGCAACAAAATCCTGGCTAAAGGCTTCTGGGGAATTAAAGGGGGCATCAGACCTTGCTGCAGGATGTCCAGCAAGCCTCACCAAGGCAGATAGTGGCAACAGGAAGAAAGGAAAACATTTAGCTTTGCTAGTGCAATACAGCATTCAGATTATTGTGGGCCTTTCCTTATGATTCTTCTAAAGGGATTCAGTGAGGCAAGTTGAATTTAGATCTGCTGAAAGAATGGCAAAAGGACATGCTAAGGGATCTCTTAAGCACAATTCAAAAAAATTGACTTACCTTTGAATGTAGCAAACTCTATTCATGAAATGCATGAACCAATCCTGATAGAAAGCCTGACAAAAATTCAAAAGAAAAAGAAAAAGAAAAGAAAAAGAAAAAGAAAAAGGAAAAAAGGAAAAAGAAAAATAAAAAAATAAAAAGAAAAAGAAAAAGAAAAAGAAAAAGAAAAAGAAAAAGAAAAAGAAAAAAAGGAAAAAAAGAAAAAGAAAAATAAAAAGAAAAAGAAAAAGAAAAAGAAAAAGAAAAAGAAAAAGAGAAAAAGAAAAAAGGCATGTTTTATCTAGTCCCAGTTTTTATCAGTCTATGAACATTACATATTCTAGAATTTACCCATCAGAATGTAAGGCAGTGAAATTGCTACACTACAGCAATATCTAATTCTAATTAATTTTTCCATTGCGAATATGGAATCATGCAGATCACATTTCTGTTCATTTCTAAATTCTGCACAATATTAAGAAATGAATATAATCTAGAAATGGAAGACAATGTTCTGTTCAACAGTCATTTAAAAATTTAGCTGTGTGTGTTCAGACTGATAAAACCAATTGAAATTGTCAGCACTATTTTTTGCACAGCATTATCAATATAAACAAGCTGTCTGCTCATGTAAATTGTTCTGTAGTGAGACTAACAAAGAACATCAGTCTTTTAGCCTAAGAAAGCCTGTCCATTATAGCATTTCAACTGACACATTTTGCTGTGTCTAATTGCTACATTACAGTTTTCTTTAGGATAAAAATAAGTAATTCAAATATGATCAAATGACTTCACTGCTTTAACTGCAGCAGGCCCATATCTTACATGGGTATAGGTGAAGTTCTTCTATAAACAACCTGCAATCTATTTTCACTGACTCCTGTCTTAACAGAAACATTGGACTCAGTCAGAGGCTTGCTATTTGCTACTGCTTGCAAAGGCTTTATTATGAGCTAAGCAAATCACCCACAAAATTTGTATTACATTTTGTAAAAACAGACCTTATGATTCTGAATACATGAGATCAACTAACTTCTGTATTTCCCTTATATATTCAGACAATCCTTGCTCATTAGAGGCAAGAAAGACACTTCTTTTATGATTTTTTTTTGTAATGTCTGTTTTGAATTACAAAGATTTTATGCCTACAGATGTTAGTTTGGTATAGCAAAAAAAAAGGTTTACTGCTCTCTGAATTTCCCTAGTGACTCCTTAAAAGATAGGTAAAGTGATTTATGAGTCCCAGGGCCTTCAGTATAGCAAACAATTTTAAACAGAATTCTATTTTCTTAGCAGCTCAGCTCTTCTTCCAAGCACCTGGTGTTTTTAATTTATTTTTTTTAATCCCTCTACTCTTTGATTTCTTACCTTGTGCAAATACCCAGACTCTTTTGATCTTTATCAATATTTGTTACTTGAAAAGACTTTGAGTAAATATACCTCAAAGTCTTCTGCAATAACAGCTGATGGAAACAAAATAAATTACTTATTTCTTTCACCATTTGGTAAATCTAAGCACCCATTAATTCCTTTGAAAGTCTTATGCTTCTGTGTTTTTTAAATAAGTTTTGTGACCACACCAGCTGCTCTTAGCCAAACTCATTTCTATCCTCTGTGCAACCTTCTCTAATAATTTCTGCTTACTATTTACTGACTAGATTTTGTTTCAGGTAGGTCCTATCTTTTGAAGTACATTTTGACTGGACTTTCCTAAAATCAAACTCAAACTTTGACCTTGTTAGAATTTTCCTTACCTTCCTATTTCTTTTATAGTTCAAAGATATGTAGGACTTAATTCTTAAAGTTGTTGTCCCTATTGCCTCACTTCTGATTGTAGGGTACTCTTGATGAAACCTTAATTTTTCCATCTTCCAATCACAATCTTCAGGTAATTTTGGTGAAAAGTACATTCTAAATGTGAAAAAACAAAATAAACAAACATAAAACTTAACAATATTTTGTCCTATTTCAGAAGTTTTGTTTAGCTTTGATTTTATTTAGCTTAGATTTGTTTAGCTTATAGACATATGATGTTGAGACCTCTGATACGACAAGAATTAGAGCATTTTTAGTGCAGCACAATGGGACAGAATAACTGCAAACAGCTTTGGACATTTACATGCTAAAATTTTCAATAAATTCTTGCCACTGTAGCAATTTTTAAATATATCAGTATGAGAACAGCCTACTGTGTCAAATCATGCTGTATTTTTTTTATAATATATTATCTGTTCTGTGATTAAACAGCTCATGGGATGTGTTTTAATGTGTGTTCAAGTGCCCAGTTAAGAATGTTTTCTGCAGTGAGGCTGATTTAAGTTAGATGAGAACCATCCATACCTTATTGCTCAACTTTATAGTAGTCCTCTGGTTTGTTCAGTGCTTCACAGCATTAATTCTTTCTAAGTGGGGAAGAGCTGTCCCAGAAACCTGATGCACCATGAACAAATTACTTAGGGATCTACAAAGTTCTGCTTCTGAAGGGACTGATTATCTGATCAGCGCAGGAAATTGTCCCAAGTGCTCACAAAAAGCTCAGCAGGGCTGCTGTGTGCGGCGTGGGGCTGGCACGGAGGGCTCTGTGCTGGCTCCTGGCTGGGCTGTGCAGGGCAAAGCCCGGGCAGCCTCCCACAGCCGAGCTGGGCTGTTGGTGGGAGAGTACCCCCAGGTATCCCTGCTCAGATAAACCCCATGACTCACTCCAGGGAGATGGAAATGCCTCCTTCAAACCTGCATGGTAAGAGACTTCCATTGTAGCACATCCATTTTAACAGGAAAGGACCACGGGAAAAGAATATCTGTTAAATCAAGTGGTGAAGAAATGGTTTATATTAAAATAAAGCAGCACCAAAAAACCCCATCGAAACAAAAACAACAAAGCAAATTTGGCATAGAAATGAGGATAATGTCTCTCATACCACTTGACTATTTCCTCTATGCTATAATACAATCCACAGAAAATGCTATCACATCAGATAATCAGAACCAGAATGCATTCCACAACTGGAAATTAAAAATCCAAACATCAGGTGTTTTTTTCCTGTACTGCAGGCATCAATTGCCTATTCCACGCACATCCCAGAAACAAAATAATAGCACAATAACAAGATTTAATGAGGAAAAAACAAACAAACAGGCAAGCCAACTCAAAACACAAAACAAAATTAAATACAAGCAGGAAAGAAAACCTAAACACAAAACCACTAAAAAACCCCAGATAGTTTCTGAGCACAGAAAGGCAGATTTTGCCTGGAGGCTTTATTCTGACTGTCCCCTTGAAGGACAGATTGTACTTTTTGTAGCCTGCTGGAAGGGCAACTCTGACAAGTCCAGGAGCAATCTTATGACTGACACTTCAATGGCAAGAGCGACTTGGCCATGACTTTGACTTATCCTCTGGACACCATCAGCAGAGTTCACTTTCCAAGGGACTTCATTTCCCATTCCTCATGCATCTCCCACTTAATGTTGCAAGTTTTTCATGACAACAAAGATTGTAAAATAAGATTGTATTTTCATAACCATTTAAGTATCGTGACATTGCACACATTTTTCCCCTTTATTTAGCATACCTACAACATGTTAGTTTATCCTGATGTGTTTTCCTCACTTCAGTGTTAAGATTTCACTGAAAAACTGCCAGAATTGATATCTCAAGTCTCCACTGTGAAAAGTGATGCAGCCCAAAAGATTGATTATTACTTGTTCACCTTGAAGTTTTTGCAGCTGAAGGTTTTGGCAGCATAGATCCCCAAGGTTCAAATGATAGCTTACATTAAATGAAAAATGTAATAATTTCTGAAGCAGGTCTTGAAACTTGAGGCCAAGTCAGCTGAAGAGTTCTACATACCTTAGCTGGTCTTACTGGTTACTAGAGTGTCATTTTGAGATTTCTCCCCTCCTTACAATTTGAAAATTGTAATCACTTGGCTGGGGATATTTGAAGGCAAGTATTTTTCATGCAAAATAGGTTTCACCTTCTCTGCCTGCTTCTGATTTCGATCCTCAGTTCATCTCAGGGAAGGTATTTATCCATCCCACTTATCATCATAGAAAAAACTGGCTAGGAGAAGACATGAAAACCTTTAAATAATTTCAGGTGTGTATTCATCAGCTGGAAATCTGCACAGCATTTTTGAGGAAATTTGAAATTATCACAGTAGCTGCATTAATAAACTCTGTCTGCAAAACTGCTTATCGGTGCTTTTTATCTTACCCCTTCTAAAATATGCAGTTGGAGAAGTAATTGAAGACTTGTCTATTCCCAGCTGAGTTTCCTAACTGCTAAAATACTTGTATTTGGTCTCTTGTCCAATTAGTCTCTATTTAGGGCTTA